GTAGTTCCCACCTCGCAGGGCCCTTGTGAGGCGTACATGCTATGACGCATGCTAAATATGGTATAATGCCTGGCACACAACAACAGCGCATTAACGTCCATCACTGTTATTCACAACCTTGTGCAAAAACAAATAATCATCTTGGCCTCCATTAAAACCTCTGTATCACAGAAACTTTGTTTTACTACTTTAGAAGCATCCACACATACCGGTATGTATTTTCAAAATAACTTGAAGTTTTACACAGAATTTTGGATCCTAACAAGCATTTGGATCTCCGTCTGTCTGTTTCATTTGACAAATACATTTTTTAAAAAATGGAAGAATTGCGAAGACAGAGAAGTCAGGCTGCTTTCCTTCGAGGCTTAGCAGTTCGTGTCCCCTACCTATTTTTTTCCCACTTAATTTTTTTCACCTCCAACTCTCTTACTCCAGATTTCTACTGATAGAATTGAGTTCTCTCAATTTTCTGAGAAAAATTCAGAAAGGTTTATTAATATGTCAAGTATTTTAGGGAAAAAACAGAGTCACAAATGATTTATGATCCAATAAATGCCAGGACTGTCAGAGGGATTAAAGGAATTAGCACTTACGGAAACACTGACAATAAAGGGGCCACTGGCCCCTTTTCTTTTTCTGAAAAGACCAAGATATGGTGGTCAGGTGATATTTCTTTATTCTTAGATTCAGTAATAATTTAACGAATTCTTACTGCATGCCTACCCTTCCCCCAAATTGCTTCAAGTTTTACGAATGCTTTAAAAAAATAAAGACAATTTAGGTGATACAAACAGGCTTTATATAAATGTTTTCTTTAACACTTGAACACTGCATGGAGTAGGCAGCCTCTGTCTGTCCTCAAAGGTCCAGAAAACTGGGAGGCAGGGGAGAAAATGGCAAGAGTTTATAGGATATGAACAAGTAGGAGAAAAATAGAAACTGAACAAGGAACAAAGACAACAGGTGAGTTCTGTGGTGATCAGGGATTGGTCGCTTGGATGGTGCACCTTCTGGGCCGATGGCCTCCTTACAAGAACATGAAACTTTAAATCTCAGGTTTTGGGTTGCTGACGTGATCTTCCAGAATCTGCCACTTTACTGAGGAAAGGTCATTGTTAGGGTGAAGATTTTAACATAAGGCATAAAAGACTCACACAGCTAACTGAAGGCAAAGTTCACCGTCTGCTTCCAACACTTGCACGCCATTGCGCGTAATGGCTGTGACCACCGCACACGTCAGCAGCTACGGTGGCCCTGTTTGCTGGACCAGCAGGTGTTTGAGCTCCACAGCTTTACCGAGTAAAAGCAGAACAGACAGAAAATGCGGCTCCTCATGGCCGGCTTTACTTCTTTATTTTTGATCTCAAAACTATGTGTGGGAGAGGAAGAAATGTCCTTTACCTCGAGGTTCTTTTAGCTAGTCTGAGAATCAAATGGACATGAGACAGATTAACAGGAGAAAAAACCAGAAGTTTAATTTCATATGTATGGAGGCCCAATAATGAGATTGAGATCCAAAGAAATGACCAAGATATGCAACTGGTATGCATTTTAGACAGAGAAACATAAATCTGGGAGGACTTGATGGGACAGGGAGAGCCTATTCTTGGGCGCCTCAGTCAGTAAGGAATTCCGAAGAGCATTTGGGCTGGGGGAGTCAATTAGTAAAAAAGCAACAAGATTTGTTTATGCAGCCTTTTCAGCTCCAAGTGCCCAGTCTCTGGTGAGAAGGCTGCTTCTATGCTCCAGGAGCAGGGAGGTGCCTTTCACCAGGAGATTCTTTCCCTGGTTTGAAGGCGATGGAGACAGGGTGGGGACAGAGAATTCCTCCTGCTTCTGCTGTTTCTCTGTTGTTTCAATTCAAAGTAATCGATATACCAAAGTGGCACATTTTGGGACAGCCTGCCCTTGGTTCCATATGCAAACAAAAAACTCTGAAAACTCAACAGTAAGAAAACAAACTAATTTAAAAATGAGCAGAACATCTGGACAGACACCTCACCAAAGAAGACATACAGGTTTCTCCTGCTTTTTGAAAAGTTCTTTAGGCCACTTCACTCTATGAAAAGACCTATATTAGTACCTGTTTTTTTTTTGCTAGCTAAAAGAAAACCAAAGAGGATCTTCACTTTTACAAAAGAAAGTGAAAAGCGAGAACCGGGTCCAGGGTTTGTTTTGCAGTGAGTGGGCACAGCGGCGGCCCACGTCCTGAATAACACACCCACCAAGCTCCTGTCCTGGGAACCACACTTGGCGTCTCAGCTTCAAGCCACAGCTTTGAACTGTGTCTGTGAGCATGTGGTTCATCTTCATCTATTTTGTGCAAGAAAAGTATCAGAAAAGCCCAAGAGAGGCTATTTTTTGGGGTCTGGGAACGCTCAGAAACTTTTCCATATAAAATGATGGTAATTGCTTCTGTGCTTTATGCCATTTTGTCTTAGGAAAGTTTTCACAGGAACACGTGACTTTCCCTTTACAGATGGGAAATAAACATGAAAAGATGATCCACATCATACAAAACAAAGACTTTCCACTCCACAGCTATTGGAATAATGAAAACCCAAAGCACTGACAACATCAAATGCTGAAGAAGATGTGGTGCAATCGGAATTCGTTGTTGGTAGGGATGTGAAATGGTAAAACTACTTTGCAAGGCAGTTTGGCCGTTTCTTACAAAACTAGACATATTCCTACCACATGATATAGCAATCACTGCTTCTAAATATTTAACCAGTTGAGATGAAAACATCCCTCCCCACAAAAACCTTCATATGAATATTTATAACTTATTCATAATTGCCAAAACTTGGAGGCAACAAAGATGTCCTTCAGGAAGTGAATGGAAAAATCCATAAACTGTGTTACGGCCAGGTAATGGAATACTACTCAACACTAAAAAAGAAATGAATATCAGACCACAAAAAAGACATGAAAAAACTTAAATGCGTATCACTAAATGAAAAGCCAGTGTGAGAAGGCTATATACCATGTGATTCCCACTACATGACATTCTGGAAAAGGCAAAGCTATAGAGATGGTATAAGGACCAGTGGTTACCAAGGATTAGGGAGAGAGGGGGGTGGACAGGCAGGACACACAGGATTTGGGGGCAGTGAAACTAAATTCAGTGTGATACCTCTCATTATACATTTGCCAAAACCTGTGGAATATACAACATGAAGAATAAACACTATTTAAATGAAACCCTAATTTAAACTATGGAGCTTGTTTGATAATATTTTGACATTGGTTCATTGATTGTAAGAAATGTACCACATTTGGGAGAAAAGTATGTGGGAACCCTAGTTTCTGCTCAACTTTGCTCTGAACCTCAAACTTCTCTAAAAAATAAAGTCTATTAATTAAAAAAATTATACATAGCTTTCCTAAAAATGATATCGATCTATTTTTGCTGTCCCACTTGCTTTCATAAAGAAGTCTACAAGATTGTGATATTTCGTGTCACTTTTAAATTTAAAGACTAAGTTGAACAGCTGGGTCCTATTCTATTGACACTTTCATTAACCTTCATATACTATTAGTTGTACATGGTGAATCCTAAAGGATATTGATTCAACTAAGCTTACATTTGTCAGTTGTTAATTTAAACTTTATTTGGCTATTTATATTTATTTATATGTATATGTATAATATATGTTTTTATATGTATTACATTTATAATGATTTTTAGATGTTCTTTATATATGATGACTCAATACTTCATCATGAATTTCAATTATATTTCTACATACATCATTTGACTTTGTTTATGGCATCTTTTTCTCCAAATAATTTCATTCATTCCAGTTTTAGTCTTTTAATTACTGCTTCTGCCTTAGTATAATACTCTGTTTTATTCTAATTCCTTATATGGTTTAGTCTCTTAAATTTACATCTTCAGTTCATCTGGAATTTATTTTTTGGATGGTATTTTAAAAAATGTTTTGCCAATTATCTTCCCTACACAGACTTTTTGTAAAAAAATATCTATACACAGCTTTTTTGTCTGCAATTCTGACAAGTTGCTGCCCCTTACAAATGACAAGACTCACTAATCAGTCCATCTTCCTTGTGGAACAGAACAAAAACACCCATATTTTCACTATGGGTCTTTGGGTAAAGGACATTGGTTGCTGTAGAATGACCCTTGGAAGACGTCATCACTCGGCACTTATTTCACTTTAGAGGGAAGAAATCTGGGGCCTAAAACAGAGCACTATTAGTATCTCTTCACATGTTCTTTCCCATAAATGACAATGTTAAATAAAATCATTATTTAAGACTAATGTCTGTACAAGCATATTAGCATTGTGAATTTATAAGCTGAGAAAATGCTATGACATGTTTCCTGAGCATATTTGTTCATGGGGGCTTTTGTTTCTTAGTTTTGCCAGACATCTCTTTCTTGGGATGAACATCATCCCATAGAATTCATTTTGGGAAATGATACCAAGAGACGTGCAGAGAACCTTCGACCTTAATGACATTGTTGGCTCACAGATTGAAATAATCTTGAACCTGGATTCTACCACTGTTGGAGACTTATAGGCAATTGATTAATCTTATTGTGTGAAACTGTTTGCATCAGGGCTTCTGTCGTTTGTAATGCAAACCAGCAGATACAGAAATTGGTACCAGGACAGTGAGGTGGGGCAGAGACATGGGACAAGCATCATGATTAACTTGTCCTGCCTGTGATGAAAAATGCTGAGATATAAACAGTCTAGTAAGAACAGGAGGAACTCCATCTTAAGGCTAAGATTCCATTTTAAAAAAAGCAGAGACTTGAAAAGTAAGATTCCTAGCATATTCTCTGGTCATCAGACAGTAGTCCAACCGCCTATGTTAAGGCAGGGCAGGCAGTCTTAACTGATATGATCCCACTGCTTGAGGGTAACCACAATCTTGGAGAAGAGGATAAATAAATTCTTTTGTTGTGTTTATTTAGCAGAATTAGCTGGAAGCCTATTAAAAGAGGAAAGGAGACATGGTGTCTCACCAGAGATAAGCATTCTGGGACCATGTAACAAGTCTGCACCTCTAGCCCTTTACCACATTCCTAAAAATCCTCAACTGCCTATAAATTCCCGAGACAAGCACCACCATGGGCTCTCATCCCCTCCTGGCGTGTGCTAGGAGCTCTGTCCTCTCACTTTCTCTATAAATGAAAGCCTCTCCTTTGTTCTCCTACCTTGAGTGTTTGCAAGTTCATTCTTGGACTCCATGAACAAGGACCTTGGTATCAGTAGGACATTCCAAAGAACAGATCCTAAAATGCAGAACTGGGTGTAAGAAGTTGGACACGGGCAATGAGGAACCCACTGCTTATAATGGTTTGCGTTGACCATTAGTTGTGGCCTTACACAAGACTAAGACAAACTTACCCCAAAAATGGCCGATCTGAAAAGAGAGGTGGGAAGTGTAGCTTAGCTATAATCTGCAGACAAAGCGGACTGAGCTATACGATGTTAGAAAAGCTCAATCTGACCCACGAGTTCTTGATCCGGTCTGCATATGCACTGGGTGCTTTGAGGCTCTGCTAATAAAATTTAGAGCATATGTATACTTGGATGGGAAGAAAAAGTTACATATTCCTTTCCACTAACCCCCTCACTGAAATTTCATTATAAATGCAGATGAAACTATCCCAGTTGAATCTGTGTGATTTGTCACCCAAAGAATTCACAGACATTTTCATATCACACTACAGCTGTCACAGATGTCTCAAAGTATTATTTAAATTCATACTTAATTAGGAGTTGCAGGAGGCCCACTGCTAGATATTGATTTTGACTATGTTAAATATTTATTTTCATAATTAATAAACAACTATAATACCAGGAATGTGTTTTTAGTATTTTCACAACTGTATTTTTTTGGTCTTTTTTTTCCTGTGACCCTATGCATTTTATTTTATGCATTTAAAACATTACTTCCTGTGTGTGAGGTTCACCAAAGTCCCAAAGGGTTTTGTGGCAAAAAAAAGGTTAAGAACGTTTAACAGGAGAGAATATGGGGAGATCAGAGATTTGGGAATGGGACTGTGGCAAAAGGAAACACTGCCTCAGGCCACTCCGAAATAAGTGTTCTCCACCCCTCAAAAGGGACAAAGGTATTGACTATGAAGATGCATTGGGGAAACAGCCAGGGACCCGGAAGTGGATTATGGCGGGGCTTCCACACCCAAAACTGTTCTTTATGATCATCTCAGATGAGGGCCAGAGGGGCAGGCTGGAGTCAAAAGCTCATGGCCGGGTGCCTGGAATTCTCAGACTCGAAGACTTTATCAGGACAGAATTTGTGGCTCCCAGTGGAAGGAAACAGATTAGCAGCTCACTACATTTTTATAATATTTTTGTTTGTTTTACCCTTTACTGAAGTGTAATATGTATACAGTAGAAGTATTACAAGGATACAGACCTATGTTTTCACAAACTGAACACACTTGTCTAGCCAGCACGAGGATTAAGAAATGGGGCAGCATATCTCTAATATGGTAACTATTCACAGGTAAACCCACAGACACAAAAGCTCCTTGGTTTCTGCAATAATTTCAGACTGTAAAGAGGTCCTGAGACCAAAAATCTTGAGAACCAAGGCTGAGATGATAGGACTATATTACAGTTTATTTTTCCATTCCATTGTTGACGAGCATTGGGGTCGGGTAACAGTTTTTGGCTATTGCAAATGTTGCTTCTAGAACATGTCTCTTGGTGACCATCTGGACTCACTTCCATTGGATAAATATAACTAGGAGCTGGGATTGTCGGAACATGCAGTATATTTAGTTTCTAGTAGATATCACTCAAACAGTTTTCCAGAATGTCTGTACTAATTTACATTCCCACCAGCAATTTATAAGACTTTCGGTTGTTCTGCATTCTCTCCAGGGCTAGGAGTTGTTGATCATTTCGCTAATTTTCCTCCTTGTGTATCACAGCTTTAATTAGCATTTTTCTGATGACATTTGAAGTTAAGCACCATTATATACCTGTACTGACTATTTAAATATTGTTCTGTAAATTGTTCTCTTATTCTATTTATTTTTTCTACTGGGTTGTGGATATTTTTCTTATTGACTTATAGGAGTCATTTCCTTTTTAGACATTTTTTATCTGCTGCTATCGAAATGACACCAATCTCAAAATTCTTTCTTTGAGGGACTGTTTCAATTTCTGGGACAATCTTCATTTCTGATGCAATCAGGTCCAGGTAGGAGGTAAAAATCACAAGTATACTTGTACAAGGACGAATGCAATATGAAGGACTGTCAGTCATTAAAATTGTTCATTAGGTATTTAAAGGCACAAAGGGGAACACAAAATTATCACTGAGGTAGAATCTGCAGCAAACAGCTACCACCTCTCGGGGGGGAGAACAAAGGGGTAAAGTTGGAATAAAACCTCAAAGCTTGGATGAGCAGGCCCACGTTGCCGTAATGCACACTTCCGAGGATGCAGCCTTCTCAGACCGTGCGAGTGTCTCCACGCTCCATGCGTGAGCACTTCGGGCTCAGAGCAGAATGGGAGGAGCACGCCTGACTCCTGAGTCCACCCTGGTTTCTGAGCTGAATCCCCAGCCTACCACACGGGCTCAAAACATCGGCCACAGAATGTTCCGTGACCTGACTTTGAAACAAATGCCAATTATGTGTACCAAGAACAGCTAAACTGCAGAATTACTGTCGTCTAATCAGCAACAGAAGAATGATTACAAACAGTGCTGAGTTTTATGTGATGTGTGAGCCTTTGCAGATGATTGCTGTCACATCCAGCAGAAAAGAAGGTTTCAAGCAGTAAGGATTGTTGTGCTATCTGCGCTTAATTCTCCTAAGAGAGATAACTGAATAAACTGCTTGCTTACTCCATCCCTGCCCCTCAAGGCCAAAAGCTGCTCTGCTCTCCTTGTCCACTTCAGCGTTTTAAAAAACCATCGTTACACGCATTGGGCATTTATTTAAGTGATGCAAGTGACAAGACAACAGGAGCGATGGCCTGAAGCGATGATGGGAATGCGCCCTCTCACTCTGTCCAGTGACAGTCTGGCCCAAGTACCAGCATCTCTCACTTGAAATAATGCTTTAGACTCCTAAATGCTCTCCATTTCTGCACACTTTTAGTGTCCCTATTAATCTGTTCTTATCACAGCCACCACAGTGATCACATTGCATTAAGATCTAGGTCAGACTATGGTCACTTCTCTGCTCAAAACGTCTTGAGGATTTCCCATTTTACGGAATGAAAGGTGAAACTGGGGTAATGGTCTTCACGCCCTCCATCCCCAGGTCTGGTGACTGCTGTCCCCATCACTCTGTCCCAGCCACGTGAGCCTCCCTGGGGCCAACCGCCCACAAAGCCAGGCATGCTTGCCCTCAAGCATTTAATTCCTGCAATTCTCTCCCCAGGTATCTTTATGGCTCTTCCTTCGCAGCCTCCTTCAGCATTTTATGCAAATATTACCCTCTCTTAGGGAGCCTTTTTTTGTGATTCTAATGAAATTTTCACCGCACACAGACATCCCATCCTTACTCCCTCCCTGCATTCTTGTCTCATTCTTCCCTCTGGTATCTGAGTCCCATAAGGGCAGGATTTCCATCTCTTTTGTTCATTGCTGAATTCCCAGTGTCTTCCAAATACCTGCCTCATAGCAGGCCATGAACAAATGTTGAACAAATGAATAATTAGATGAATGAATGATATGTAATAAACCTGGGCTTTACATTTGATCATTGGCTGAATGCAAGCAAGCCTCTTCATGTCTTTGTACCTGAATTCATTCCTCTGTGAAATAAAGGTCACTGACAGATGGTCCCATCTAAGTCTTCAATTTCACCATTGATAGTCAATCATATTTACAAAGGCCTTTGACTTTCTGAATAAAAAGCTTTGAAATGTGCGATGTTTATATTTAGAGGTAAAATTGAAAACAGCTTGGGTCCCGAGTCAGAAGACCTGGGTTTGAGGGTGAGTCATCTTGGGTCCTGTTTTGTACGTCAGGCTGACACAGCCGTGGCTTCCCTTCCTACAACATGGGATTGCTGTGAGCCCGGAGAGTGTGGAATATAATAGATACGCAATGAGCATTCCTTTCCTTTCTTTATTCTCATGTCAGTCAGGCCAAGAACAAAGTTGTAATGCTAATGCTAATAATATCAGTAGGCACTATTATTATTTTGTCTCTAAGCAGTTTATTTAATTTTAAAATACCAAGGTTTTGATGGCTTTAGTCCCACACTGGCGGCTTAGTTTATCTCAGTTCTGTTGCCGTGACTCCATCATGCCCTGCCACCCATGACTCCCAGTGAAACTGGTGTAAACCCAGGCCTTTTCTATGCTCCTTTAAAAGCAGTCTATAGCTCAGGTTCTGATGGCAAGTCATGTGATGACACTATAGTGCCACTAAATTGCTTTTGCCATTAGTTACTATTAATTTTTTGGCCATTGATCTATAATCCCTGTAAGGGATAAAAGATTTTAAGACCCTATGGAAACCTTCTGGAACTCATGGTATACAGATTTATACAAAATGAAGTGCACAACACAGAGACTAGTTAGAATAGAGTCCCTTTAAAACAGCTGTCTAGTTATTTGATCATTTCTAGATAGGGTTCTCCATCACGAAACAGTCCTGGCAGAATCTGTCAGGAGTCCTCTGGAAAAGTCCATGGAGACCCACACATCTCAAGAAATTTAATGACTTATAATCATTTTTCCCATTATTAATTATAAGACAGCAACTCTGCACTTTATATGGAGTTTGCACAAGCTACTGACATTTGTTTTACTGGCAAGTCAAGTCAGGAGACGGCAGGGTGGAGAATCTGCATTCATGTCAGGAGCTGTGACTGACCAGGGGCGCAGGCCGAAGTAGAAAGCTGGCACTTAGAAAAATCTCTCCAGCATCTTTCTCTCTCCCTTTCACATTACATCATAACAGAAAGCACTGAAGACATTTGCTTGTTGGGGATCCTGACAATCGTAATACTCCAGTGCCTTTGCAGAATGTTCGCAAGTTTGTAAAATGCCTTTCTTTGCGTGCACTTGCACAAGTAGAACTGCACAAAATGTGTGCAATGACGGCAGTGGTTTTTAATATTTTTCCATTTTACAGGTGAGAAGATAGAGGGGTGGAGATGAGAACTGGCTTGCTGAAGTTTGTGCGCTGATCGAAGACAGCGCCTGTGTTCATCTTATGCAGGACTGGGGAGGAAGGATGTTTTGGAATTGTACCTGAGGACAACCTAGCTTTTGTGATCCCCAGTGTAATCTCCTGGGAAAAACCGCTTTGCCTGGAGAATTCAACAATAGCAAAGCAAACAATGTTCCAGAAATAAACATTGGGTCTATTTCTAGTCCTATGGTATGCTCAAGGCTACATAAGTCTCAAGGAATGTGCTTTGCATCATGAAGAATAAACTGAACTTATTTGGTACTGTTTCCTTTCATCCACGCCCTCGCCCTGGAGTCCCTAGGACCATTTATGCTTATTAGGGTTCTGTCAGATGGGGCACTAGGAAGAAACAAGTGGTACAATCATCAACAGCTAAATGGGAAACTTCTCTTCGTTATGAAAACTGGTGCCTTAAAGCACTTGGAGAATACCAGGACTCACCTCTCCTTGCTGTTGCTACGTGCATAGAAGCTGAATACTTCAACTGTAATAGTGGCTGTAACCTAAAAGAAATTAAGGAGAAAATCAGAGAGGTTGAAATACAAAGAAAATTTAAAAAGAGTTACGAGACCTAGATTCTAGAACCATCTTTCCCCCTAAGTGGGTACCCGTGAATGATTAATTTACTTTTACTAGGTCTCTGTTTTGTTTCCTGTCAAATGGGAAGGGCGCAGGGTGGGAGCAGTGAACTAAGAAGTCGCTTGGCTTCATTTACGATGTAGCTCTATGATTCTTTGGTAGGTGGTTTTGTGGAGAAACTATGGGATGGGGAGTTTGGGGCAATTCCCTGTTAGTTGGGAGCAGAGACACTCATAGCCTTGGGATATCTTCATTCACTGTTCATACTCAACAAAAGCTTTCTGTGCCTTCAGGTGTAGATAATATATGTCTGATGTACTTTTGGTTTTGTGTTCTACAAAGTCTTAAGGGTCAGTACAAACTGGTTATGGGAAACCCAGTTTCATACTATGTAAGTCTGGGTACAATAATGAGTGTAGGTTAAAGTTTGCCATGTAAATTAGTACTATAGGTATATACAGTTGACCCTTGAACAGCACAGGTTTGAATGGGTCCACTTATATTCAGATTTTTTTCAGTAAATATATTGGAAAAGTTTTTGGAGATCTGTGACAGTTTAAAAAAAAACATTTCCTTTTCTTTAGGGACAGACAACATACAAATTATAGTTAATTGACTGTTGATGCTATCGGTAAGGCTTCTGGTCAACAGTAGGCTAGTTAAGTTTTAGGGGAGTCAAAAGTTATACACAAACTGCACGGGGCTCTGTGCCCCTAGCCCCTGTGTTTTTCAAGGGAAAACTGTACTATGCTTCTTGAGAGACTGGGGGTTAACAGGAAAAAAGGGAGTCCACTTGAATAAAGTGGAGCGACAGGGAAAAGTGAATGTCGTTAAGCAGAAGACAGCCCAGGCACTGAATCCAGCCTCTTCAGTCCGCTGATATGCTGGGACTTCCATTTGAACAACTCATCAATCAGTTCCATAGTGCACTGCACACAATAAATACTGCAGGAGTTCTAAGGAGAGAGACATGATCATGGACTGTGGTCATCAGAAAAGATTTCAGACAAAAGGTAGACTTTAAAAAGGAACTTGAAGGACAGGAGAAAATGCATAGTTGGAGAAAATAAGCATAATGCTTCCAATGTGAAGGACAGCATGAGTCTAGATGCAAAGAACAGAATGTCTGTTGGGGTACCGGGCAGCACAGATTAATCAGCATTCAAGATCAGAGTTTCTGAAAGCTGTGAAGACATGTCTGGAAAGACAGTTAGGTTGAGACTAAGGAGAAATTTGACTTGAGATTATATAATTCAGGAGGTTGCAAAACTGCTGAACCATGAGTTGGAATTGACCTGCTGGTTTGTGATTTTTTTTGGTTCACAGGATTTTTTAATACTGGATTTGAATGCAGTAGGCTGGGCATGTGTTATCCTGTTTATCATAGTTTCTACCACTTTTAAAAAACTTTTAGTATTGGCAAGTTACATAATAGTTGCAGGAACAATAAAGCATTCATTCATATCCTTCACATGTACATACACATACAGAGACATCTATGTTCATTCGAAACAATTTGAGAATACCTTGCAAAAATATAGCCCTTTACTTTCCAAAATTCAACATTATTTTTTAAAAACAAGGACAATCTCCTACATAACCACTGTACGTTGATCAAATTCAGAGAATTTAGCACCAATATAATATTATTTACTCTACAGTCTATATTTAATTTTTTTGTCCTCTGTATCAATTTTTTCCTCGATTCAGGATCAAATTCAAGATCTTTATTTCATTTAGTTTTCACAACTCTTTAATTCTTTATCCTTTTTGACCGTGGCATTTTTGGAGGGTAAAGGTCAAAATGTCCCTCAACTTGGACTTTTTAAATCTCTCGTGAGGTTTCTCCATAATAAATTTAACCATTTTTTTTCTCTTTGTAATTAGTAAATGATATGTGGGGAGATATTGTGAAATTACATGTGTGCTTTTTCCACATTAAACTCTCACCGAACAGCCCTACCAGCTGTTGGGGAATCATGGGCAAGTTCTTTCTTTGCTTTAAAAATTTCCAGTGGGAACAGGATTCTTTGGAAATTTATATGTGAACAATCATGTTGTTTTAAAACAAACATTGAAATCAATCATCAATCTTTATTCACTTCCAGTTACTAAACCTTTTATTTATGCTTCTAGGACCTCAAGTACAATGTTGAACAGAAGGGATAAGAGTAAAAATCTTTGCCTTGTTTTGAATCCTAGGGAGAAAGCATTCTGTTCACTGTAGGACTTTTAATAGATGTTCTTTGTCAGTATATCATTTCTAGTCCTATTTTTCTGAGTATTTCTTAATCACAAATGGGCATTGACTTTTTAAATTTCTATGCATCTACTGAGATGACCATATTTCCCCCTCTGTTCTCACAAGATGGCAAATTATTGGTTGATTGTCATTAGACCAACTTGCATTCTGGGGATAAAACTCACTCAGTGCTGATATATTTTCCATTTTATATATTGCTTAATTCAATTTTCCAATATTTTCTTAGGGATATTTGCACCTATGCTGATAAGGAATATTGACCTAACACTTTTTTTCCTTGTAATATACTTCGTTACTTACATCACAATTTGCTGACCTCAAAAAACTAGATATGAAGTCTGTCTTCCTCCTTTATTTTAGGAAGTGTTTATGTAGAATGGCTTGATTTCTTCCATAAATACTATAGAATTCATTCGTGAAGCCATCTGAGTCAGGGGTTTTCTTTGGGAGAAGATTTTTATAGCAACGTTCATTTCTGCTTCAGTTATCCATTGCTATGTAATAAAGCACACAAAAATTTAGGGGCCTAGCACAATAACAATCTGTTATTTCTTGCATCTCTGTGAACTGGCTGATTTGATAGGCATTGCATTCGCCTGGAGGACTGGCTGAGCTGGAAGGACTGAGTCAGCCCCTCCGCATGTTGGTCGGTTGGTGCTGGCTGATGGGCCAGCCTTTCTCTCCAGTTTTCTTTCTTCCTGGGAAATCTCAGAAGAGTGTTGCAAACGGTTAAAGGTCAAAGCTACAAGGTATCAAATGCTAGGCCTCAGGAGTTACCCACCACCATTTCTGCCACATTTTATTAATCAAAGCAAGTCACAGGGCCATTCCTGATTCAGAAGAGGGTGAAGAGACTACTTCTGAATGGGAAGGTCGTATGGAGCGGTGGCAGCTAGCTCTACAAATGATCTGTGGTGGGTGATTCAGGCCAGAATAATTTGTATACCTTCCACAAGCAAAATATACTCACTTCTCTTTCAGGCCCCCAAATTCTCATCCAATTAATGCATCAGGCTTAAACTCCATGATCTCATCATATGCATCTGGGCCAGATATTGATGATGTACCCTGGGTGTAGTTTCTCAAATGTGACTCCTTTTAATGCGGAGACCTCTGGACTAAAATGATGTTATCTCCTCCCATACACGCAAGCTGTAATGTTAATAGAAGGGAAGGATATTGGCTATAGGCACTGCCAATCAAGGTAAAGGGCAAGAAACCCATGGAAATAGTGGGAAGTGATTTCCACTTCCAACCATGAACAAGTTAATTCCCCCTTCCACAGGAGTAGACAGTGTTCCAGTACCACCTGCTGACAGGAGCGCTCTAACCCATGGCTCTTTTCATTGCTTGATCTTTCTCTGTGGGTGTTCTTCCCACCCTCAGAGGTGTCTTTCCTTTTTCATAAGGAGTGGCTGTGTTTACAGCTGAGTAGTTTTTTCAGTATAACTTCAGCCTGTAGAAAGTTAGGGGCAGAGATCTCTTTCATTTTCCATTGTCTGACTCTTCTTAGTCTAACCTAATATCACTTCCTTAAAACTTTGTGGGCTTTCTATGTATCAAGTTGTTGTTCAATCCAAAGACAAAATCCATTCTCACAGTCCTTTTTCAGGCAAGCTTTTCTCTACTTGATCAGCATGTAAGGACAATGCCCTTAAGATTCCTAGACACTCTTTGCCTACCTAAGAGAGTCTGGCAAGTATCACCTTAAATCTTTCAAAGAATTTTAACAGCATGTTTTATGGTCTTGCGCTTGATTTTATCTATATCCTAAGGCCTTTTTTTTTTTCACTTTGAGAAACTTATTCTGGTCAGAGATACTGGAAATGTGAAAAGGTTTCATTTCCCAACTTAAGACATCCTAGTCCTTCATATCTACTCTAAATTCCATATGGAAACTGTTACTGTTTTAGATGATTGTCTCTCTCTTCTCATACCTTATGCAGCTTAAGAAAAATGGATACTTTTAAGTCTGTCTGGAAAACTTCTTATCTTTACCTTGTTCCTGTCAGCTCTTCACACAAAAGACCAAATGATCCTTGTAAAAGTTCATGGCAGTGGCCCACCATTAATTCAAATGGTGTTTTTGAGTGAGTTAAAAAGAAAAAAGCTCTCTTCCTCAAGACATTTGATGACATCTGATATTTTAACAGATATACATATACATGATGACTACAAATATGTCAGTGCAAAAAAACTTAAAAGTTGTGCAGTGCAAAACCTGAGTAATTATACTATACATGGTTTTACATTATTCCATGCTCAAAACCTTGCCCTTAAACTGTTTGATTCCTAATTTATAGATGTGTTCTATAAAAGTTTTGACCCCAAACATCTAAGTTAGTGGCTCCATGAAGACAGACAGATAATGGATCAAACGTAGCATATTTAAATATATCAGAGAAGTACTTACATTTTTGTCATTTCCTGGCATAAATACATTCTGCACCCTGTTGAAATGAAGTAGTTTTAGTTAGGGATAACATTAGTGAATATCTGATTCAACTTAACCAACATTTTCTTAGCCTGTGTTAAGCATTAAGCAAGACATTATGGAGGCAAAATGAACCAGATGTTGTGCCTGTGCTTGAAAGGAACACAGGCGGAACAGAGTCATGAGATAAGACAGATGCACACACGAATGAATCTTATACTGAAGTCAACCTTTGAAACACACCATAATCAAATGAGGTGTACAGTCAGAAAAATGCAAAGGCAGGTTCTGTCTTAAACGTTTTGTCTGAGTCCTGAAAGATAAAAAATTAGTTAAAGAAGGGACAGGCAGGGGATTTCAGGCAGACGGGGCATCACTGTGAAAAAGGATGCACAGGCAGGAAACTTGCATGTATGTTGTTGGGACGCTGGTGGCCACTATGAGAAGGACTTGGAATTAGAGGCAAGACGCACTGAGAGACGAGGCTGGAAGACTAAGCACAGGGAAGGTTGCCGGGAGGCTGAGGAGTTCCGACGTGATCACATTATCCATAGGGAACCACTAAGGTTTTCTGAGGGCAGTAGTGACATGGTCACACCTGTGTAATACAGAGTCACCTCTGTAAAGGTGTGATGGGTGCACTGGGGGAAAAGGAGAATAAAAGCGTCTGTGCAGTTAGCTGCGAATCACCAGGAGTGGTCATAGTGCTAACTACTATGTGCTTCCAGGTATTCCACACTCAAAAGAGAAGAGCTAGATCCGTACGGGGGATCACTGTACCTAAGGGGAGGTATTTACACACACACATGCCCCACCTCGGTTTGGCAGAGAATTCTCAATTCTGAGAAGCAGAATATTGTGATGGTTAAGGTCGGGGGCTTTACCATCAGACGAAAACCTGGCTTCTTCAATAATTGTATAACTTTGCTTAAGATACTTATACTCTTTCATACAGAGCTAAAAATACTGACTTCACAGTTTTGTTAAGCAATAAATATAATAACTTAGGTGAAGAATTTAATATAGTTTTGACTTATCTCTTGTAAGTACACCATAGCTGGGAGCTCACGTCACTACTTCTTTTTCACTATTATTGCGAATTTGAGACCAGCCCTGAGCCAATGAGTAATTTGTTAACAGCATTTACCAGAAGCTGCTGGAGGTCTACAGAATCAGGAAGAGAAAGCCCAAGCTCTCCGTGACCATGTTTTTGCAGTTTTAACAGAAGGAGACCCATACACAGAACACAGAATCCTGCAGCGTCTGTCCCAAGGTTCATTCCCAGAAGTTACTTCAGTTGATAAACACTTTCTATCTCTCTTGCAACGTCACTACGCACTTACTAATTCATGTTGCTGCTCTTGCTCCGGAATGACCTTCAAAGCACGTAACACAGCAAAGTTTATCAAACACGTTGTTCCTAACTGCTTGAAGTTTATCCTACGACGACTTATAGGACTCGTGGAAAAAACAAAGTACAAGGATTCCAAGTGAGGTTTTTCAACTTTTTAAAAAACAGAACTTAAAAAGAAAACTTGGCAGAAATCGTAACATCTACAACAAATGAAAAATGAGGCAAATTAAAGAAGTCAGAAAGGACAATTGAGGGTAATTTGTCCTCAACTCTGGTTGTTGATGCACTAAATGTTTGGTCTCAAAGAGAAAATAAACAACCAAATATATTTGCTGAAAACAGTAATCCATGAGAGAAAGACTGAAAATCACAGAACTCAGCATAATAACACAGGACCATGCAGAGGGTCTCATTAATCAGAAGGCTCTTGTTGTAACAGCTCATCTATAAGCCCAAGGACATGGGTACTGAAGTGAGCATAGTCCCAAGCTCCACTGTCCCTGGGGAAGACCTAGTTCCATAGGGACATCTCAAGTTCTGTCTCTCTTCACGCCCCGTAAAGGCACATAGACCCTGGACTGACTCCCTTCTCCCAGGATCCCATATTATCTAGGTAGACGGGGTTGAGGGGGTACTGGAGAGAGATGATCTGAGAAATACACCTTAGGTCATATTATTGAATGTACTCTGCTGAATATATTTCCTCACAATAGTAATGAAGAAAAAGATTTTCACCCAGTGAAAAGCGCTGAAATGCATTGGAAATCGTGTAGTTTTAAAACCCTTCCAGTATTTCCCTTGGGCAATCATCTGAGGTCTTGTGCTTTCCACTCGCCTCACCTTTGGAGCCTTACCCTCCCTGACTGTCCATCATATGCCATGAACTCCATTCGCCCACCCACCCATTGACTTCCAAACATACCCGGTATACTTATTCAAGTGGCCTTGCCCAGAACTCTCTTTTTCTCCATGAAAATTCCTAGAAATAATTCTGAAGTTGCACAAAACTCCCGTCTCCTCTAAAGAGGCCCCCGGCTGCCTCTTCTTCTCTTTAAATACTCCTGGAAGACTTAGCTTCTAACCCATCAGCACTGACAGCACTTTGCTTTAAAAATATCTGATTCCCCAAACATACTGTAAGATCCTAGGAATTAGGGACCACGATGTTTACATTGTCGCATCTTCTGAAATGCCTGGCATGATGTTCATGGCATCAGAGCTGAGAATGCAAAGCGAACTCTGTGTAAACGTAGGGATATTGGTTGACCTCCAGAAGTCTCTGGTTCCTCATCTGTAACAATGAGTATAAAAATGCCAGTTTCAGAGCACTGTTGTAAAGACTAACTAGGACATAATATGTAAAGCACTTAAGATGGCACTGGACCTGTTATATGTGTTCAATAAATGGTAGCTTACACTTCTGTGTTCTGCACAGTTGAGGTGTGAAAACGATCTCCTTCAGAGAACTCATTTTGATGGTGCCCTTCAATTTTCAGCTTGCAGTTAAAAGCAGAACAACCCTTTGGGAGAGAGGGTACCTAAGCACTTAATGACACCTCTAATTACAGAAAGAAGAGCTCTTCTTAAGGTGACATACGGTTACCCAGTCCACTTGTCTTTGTGAGCAGTTTATACTACAATGAGTCCAGTATCACTTGCTGATTCCTCTGGGATTGATTGTAACAATAAACTTCCAAAATATTGGGGAGTCTCTCCTAGATATAGTAAATAGTCATCTGGTTAATTCAAAGCAAGTGTTTGATGGGGGAATGTGGGTTTGGTTTCAGTGGGAAGAACTGGTAAGCTTCCAGGTCTGTTCTCGCGGCTACAGTGCCATTCTTAGGCCATGTCTTCTGAGACATACTATCCGCGAGGTGAGTGAACTTCCTTTTCAAGTTAATTTCATATGTAATCAGTAACTATTAAGATTGACTGTCAGGAAAACTATTAGGCAAAAAATCCAGTTAAATTGCATTTCACTCTCTGTTTCTCCCTTGGAAAAGGAAGAATTTGAATCTCTGAAATTCTGTAAGTTTATGGAAACAAAGAAACAGACTGACAAGAGATATTAGCTACAATGGCTTAGTCCCTAGGGGCACGCAAAGACATCCCCCCGACAGTCCTGGTGCCTAGCTCTGCAGATTTCACTTTCTTCTCACCGGTATTACCTCTCTCAGGACGCAGAGTGACAGTGTTGGCAAGAGGAGAGATGAAACCACCTTCTTTATTAGATCTGGGTGAAGCCACCAGGTCCCTGAAACACACGGAGAGTCAGATCTGCCTGGGCTTTAATGCAGTTAGTGTTCATTACGGAACCTCACCCTCTATTCTATTTTAGTGGGCTGATTACCGGGCCCAAGCACCGAAGATCTGTGGTTCATCTTTGCTCTTTTCCTTTAATGACTTCTGACACTGCATCAGCGTGTCCTGCAGGCCCAGATGGAGTTCGGATTGCCATAAAGGAGAAAAGATAAGATGATAGAAAACTCACCAGGCTGTATAATGTCCTACTGTGAACCTAAGGGGGGAGGGGGAATAACATTACCTTTGTTTTAAAATGAGCTATTCCTAATTCTTATTTTACAAATAAAAAACCTGAGACTCAGAAGGCAAGTTAACTCCTTGTCCTGGGCACCGGCTGGTCAAGCAGGGAAGCAGAGCTTCCTCAAGCTGTCAGCAATAGCACTTCCCTGGAAAAACACCGCTTGGGGAGCAGGAACCTTTTGATTCCACCCCCAACCGGTGCCCCTCTTGCAACCTCAGGTGCTAACAACCCCAACTCTCTCTGGGACCATACAGGGATGGGGAGGTAAAAGGTGGGAAGAATCAGCTTTATTGATGACTGCTTAGGGAAACACAAAACACAGAGCTTCCTGGTGAAGCTGGATTTGAGGTCATGGCTGGGATCTTGGGCCAACCTGGCACCATCTTCACGCTTCACCCTAAATGTAGACATTGGCATCAGTGGCAAGAGCAGGGTCCGACTTTCCCATTCAAATGGTGAGGAAGAAGCTGGAAATCGTCCTCAGTGTCAACTGGGGGAATGTCTGCCCTGTCTGCTTCATGAGCACAGCAAGAGCTGAGAAGGACCTGTCCCCTCTATAAAACAAGGGGCAGAAAGCATCTGCTACCATCCTCTGCTTTATGGGAAGTAGAAACGTGTCTCTTCTACGGAAATGTGAGGGCGGAGGACCTGCGCCTCCCTCTGAAGCTTCCAGTTTCGGTCCTTTCTCATCTCCACTGGGGCAATAGGCAATTAATAAGTACATCTGCCACCACCTAGTTTATGCTTTTCACCACATGGAGATCTACCTTTTAGAAGATTAAATCATGCTGCCAACTTCCCACTAAACCTTCAGTATTTCCTTGGGAAAGTCACCTACCCTTCAGTGCCTCAGTTTCCTCTTCTACAAAATGGGAGATGATGGTGCTTACTGTGCAAGGTTGTTGTGAAGGTTATATTCACCCGAAATGGGTTAATATCATAAAGCTAAGCTGTAATTCTCCTCCTCAGCCTTCTGGCAGTTACGGCTGGCTCAGTAGTCCCATCAATAGGAGCAACACTGCCACAGTTCCTAGAGTAATACGGGCTTGAGGCTGGAAGCACTTAGCTCATTCATTTCATTTAAGACCCCCTAGTAGATCTGGGCTGAGTACCCAGGATGCAAGGCCCCAAATATGACCACTGGGTTTTCCAGCTGAGGCCCAGTCTTTCTGCAAACATGGCTTAGGCAATGGTGTTGAAGAGCCAACTGCTACTTATTTAGAAAGGATGCACTAGAGAGAGAGAGCATTACTAGAGACACAGCTGCAGATTTAATCTTTTGGAAATAATCACAACAGCCATGAAATTATCTCAAATGAGTTCAGTGAATAAAGAAAGCCAAAGGCAAATATGTAAAGAATAGCTGTACTTGGGGAGTGGTGCTTAACCATATGTCTTAGGCCAACCACAAATACTGTCCCCCAGCAAACTTAGGAGGCATTAAGGGTACAGTGGTGGTCTAGCATCATAATTGAGTCATTATAGCTTTGAGATGAAATGACTTGTCCAAGGTCACACATCTATAGTTGCATAGGTTCCCTGCACCTCTGCTAAAGAGAAATCTGCTGCACTCAGCTGTGGTGGGACCAGAGGAAGCCTTACTGTGGCTGATGCAAGGGTGAATTTCAAGACTTGGTCTTTGGAGAAGAAATGCCGTTCTTTGTTCACCTCTCCACATTTAAGTTCTTGGCAGAAAGGCCCTGGAAAAATAGAAAATATTATTAGTGTTAGAAAAGTGCCAATTTCAGCTAAGCTCTGTTGAGTCAGTAATTCAACATAAGAGGATTGGTAGAGAGTAAGAATAAATAGCTTCTATGGTTCTCTGAGCATTTGAATTTATGATCTATAAAACTCCATCCATAAAAGGGAAAAAAATTTGGACAGACATGTAGAAATTATAGACAAATTCTGCCCATGGCCTACTCATTAGCAAAGGAGTTTTCCTTAAATGTAAAGTTTGAGGTATTTCTGGGTTTTTAACAGACCTAAATGTTTCAAATATTTTGACACTTACTAAGTGAAAAGCACTGTTCAAAGGACTAGATAGATATAATCTCTTACCTAATGAAGCTTATCACCTAGAGGAGGGGAAATTCACCCTTGAAAAACAGCCCAAAAGAATTGATACTATTTTCGAGATTTCTTTATACTCCTTAATAAGTCTTTTGTCAAATATGTAGTTTGCAAATATTTTCTCTGTTTGTAGCTTATCTTCTCATTCTCTGCACAGTCTTTGCAGAGCAAAAGTAAATTATCTCACTTAAATGTGTTTATTCCAGTATTTCTCAATTGACTTGACCAAGATTCTTTTTTGCCCATAATTAGCATTTCACATATTATAAGTATTCTGCAAAACACAGACTTAGAAATGACATTTTAGCCACTTTGAACATTGCAGTGTGCCTGTCTGATGTACCCAGTTTTCCAGCGCCCCACTTCCCACAGAAGCTGATCTAAAAACCAAAGTTATGGCAGTGAGTGCTCTAAGAATGCACCGTGCTCCACAGTGGCATATTGTTCTTTTTTGTCAGGGACTTTTCTAGAGAAAAACTTAAAATAAGAAGTGATTTGAAAGGGGGGAGTTTTAGTCTCCATGAAAGGTGACTGGAAAAAGACTATATTGTTTAGAGAGAGACAGGGCACATGGATTCTAGTCGCAGGTTTGCCCTTGATTGTCTGTGTGACTTTGGATAAACCACTTCCTTCTGGGCCTGAATTTCCTCAGCTGTAGAAATGAAAGGGCTGGAGCAAATTTAATGTTCTATAATTCTGCAATGTAATGTTCTATAAATCACACCAATACACCAGCTATTTGCAAATGCGAATCTCATCTCTGATGAAGATGTTACGTGATTCTGGTGGGAAGCATTTAAAAGTAGGGATAATTTGAGCATTGGATGTGTTTAAATGATCCCTGACAAATCTAAAGCTCTAGAGATGAGAGAGATCTCTGAACAATAGGGGCTTGTTGCGCCTTTACAGATGCAGCCTGGAAAAGGACTGAGTCCTGGGACAGGCAGTTTCTACTTCACCAGCAGCAAGGCCAGTTCACAGAACAACTTGTCTGCCCAACCCAAGAAACAGGGCACATTTATGAGGGGGTCTCAAGGAAAGGAAGTTCTCTAAATTTACACTGGCTACAGATAAGGAAGTCGAACTAACATAAAGTGGGGAAGTCCTGGGATAGGTGGTGAGTCCGAGAGAAGGCTCATGGATAGGTTGCTGGTGATGGTCAGATAGTGGTCACCCACTCGGGGGATGCTGTGGTCCTGGGGACCTTCTCGATGCCTGTTGGAATGAGTTCACCCAGGAACGTGGAGATTCTGGTGAGCTGTGGCCTGAAGCTACTGAGTGATGATCTTTGCTTGTTCTCTGGCCCTTTATGTACTTAATTTAGGACATTTTGGAATTTTTCTTTGTCAACCCTAACAACCCTCTGGGGTGAGCCAATTCTCTGAAGCACCTTTCTAATAAAAAAGTTCTTTTTTATCATAAAATAAATAAGTTTGCGCCTAGAAAGCCCCTGAAAAAATGTCAATAGACAGTGAGAGAGTTTTCCCTCTGTTTCTTCTAAGATCGAAATGTTGAGGCAGATGCCCCACTTCCCTTAGTTTGCCTGTGTCAGGATATTCTGAGATTTACACAGTGGTTCTCTGACTGCTTTATTTCTAATTGAGATCAACATTGGAAATCAGTGATCAGGAATCAATTAAGACAGGATGTGACCACCTTTCCTCTGTCCCAAAGTGAAAAAGAGCTTGGGGGTCGGAAGGGAGCAGGAAGGAGGGAGGAGGGGGCGGAAGCTGGTGACCCGGCCTGGGCTGGCTGATGCGCCAGTGGGGGACACACATCCCTCTGATAGGCAGAGTGTTGGTGGGGGAGGCGGAGCGTTTTCCTCTGCCCTTCCAGGTCCTTCCAGGTGGTCTAAGAAGCACGTGGACGTAGGACAGATTAACAGGGGCCAAGAAACAAAGAGTGATCCTGTGTACACAGAAGCCCGGCAGTGAAGCTGCAGCCCAAGAAATGGCCAAGGCAGAAAGTTGTTACATATTTTAGACAAAGAGACAATCAATCTGCGGGGAATTGACAGGAAAAAGAAGATGCATGTTTGGGACCTTCAATTAGGAAGGAATTCGAAGCAGCGTTTGGGCTGGGGTAGCAGATAAGTAAACATGCAAAAAGATTTGTGTCTATGGCCCTTCAGTTCCTGCCTCTGGCGGTAAGGACGTCTCTCTGCCCTCGCGGTGTAGAGGGGCTCTGCCCACATGGGAGAGATACTCCCTGGTTTCAGGGGGGACAGAGGAGGGGCAGAGTGTCCCTCCTGCTTCTGCTCTTTCTCCAGTCGCTTTGATTTGAAGTAATACATGCGCAAAGTGGCACATTTGGGGCAGCCTGCCCTTGGCCCCTGTGGCATTATTAAGATCGGTTGACAGTTAACAGCATCCTTGCTTAAAAAGCACTTCACCAAAAGAAAGTACATCACCTAGGCAATTTGGAAATCAGTTTCAAAAGATACTTTTCTCCCAACCAGGTAGGAGAAAAGAATACATATATGTATGTAAAAAATACAAAGAGGGGAAAGAAGGATGAAAGGGCTCAGCCTCAGAATGCTGATAAGGAGACAGGCAGAAATAGAAGCGCCAGAGACAGGCACATGGAAGTCTGAGAAAACAGACGGAGAATGAAGGTTGATGGGGAAGATCATCTGTACAAAATCATGTTGCTCTTCAGAAAACTGCTTGGTTAATGGGATGGATAAAAGTGTAACAGTATCAGATTTGAAAGGTGATATTGCCAGCCACCTTCCCCTTTCTCCTGTGGTGAGATTTCTGTTTCAACATAAGCATTCATTTATTCTCCCATGCACTCAGCACATATTTTTTGAGGTCTTACTATGGGCCAAGTACTGCCGTGGAGAACATCAAAGTATTAAAGACGAAATCCTGTTAATCAGGGAACCGTCATTCTAGTCCAGCCCAGTCTTGATTGGACAACCAAAGAAACAGTTACAAAATAATTTGCTATATACATGTATGTGTGTGTATAAAAATCTACTGACTTATATTGATAGAGAGACAATGCTTATTTCTGCTTAGGTGAGTAGGAAGCCCACAGGAAGGGGATTTGTAGTTTGGGAGGCTAAGATCAGAAAAGGCTTCTTGGATTTAAAGGTACATTAGCCCTTGGGGACCTAAGAGCACCAGGTTTGTTCTCTCTGAGGTGCAGAGCTGTGTTGGGGTGGGTGGTGCGAGGATGTCCTCAGACTCCTGGCCTGCCATCAAATGACAAATTGTTCCCCTCTTTCTATGCCAGAGCTATTACTTTCCACACATGCAAATTTAATCTTGTTTTACATTCTCACAGGTATGTCTTTTGCTCTTGCGCTGGGAGACTTACTTGAAAACAGCACCCAAGAATGTCAGCATTAGAAAATATTTCACAGAATGCAGATACTTTCTATGGAAGTGCCATGTCCAGTGAGAAAACTGAGGTCCAGAGAGAAGAGCCACACACACTGGAATATTCCAACCCAGCTGAGACTGAACCTTGAATCAAGCTTTTCTTTCCATGACCCCCTCTCCCCACCCCACCCCCCTTTTTTTTTTCTCTTTTTCAGGCTATACTTACAAGCTCCCTAGGGTGTTAGATAATACTTCTATATTCCAGCTATTTTCATCTTCACATGATTTTCCCATGAAGATTTTGTTGTTTCCTCTTTCAGATGTGACCCGAGGACCTCAGGCTGGCCTCATTAACTGATCTCTGTGGCACCTTAAAAGACAGTCCTCCCCAGGGAGACGCATGGCCTGCGATTGCTCTGTCCCCAGTTACTGCATTCCCACCAGCCCTGCTTCTCCCAGCAGAGCTAAGAGGCAAGCAATTGGCAATTCATGCTGAGGCAAAGATTTCTGCATGTAGCCAGTCGGGCTTCTTTCGATGCCATTTACAACCTTTGCGGTTTGAATCTGTTCACGGAAGAGCGAGTTGGTTGTCTTCAATGTTCTGTTAGAGAAGAAATGCTACTAGTTTCTCAGGATATCCCTTCTGGGAAATTTTCAGCTTTAGGAAGACAGTAGTTCAGAGCGTGCCAAAAAAATAGCTTGAATTCATGCCCTTTACAGAATTTAGTTGTGGGTGGGCAGGAGATAGATATAAATGTGGAGTAAATAGAGGTGGCTTAATAGCAGCAAAGCCCTTTCCCCTTCTGTGTCTTTTGGCTTTTCTGCAGTGACTAATTCAGAATCCCCAAATCCCAACCTGTGTCACCTAGAGGCAGAAAAGTGTGACTACCTTTCCAGGTGATCTGGAGAAGGCAAAAGCCCTCATCTGCTGTAAGTTCCTTCCTTCACTCACCCGCTGTCTGGTGTGGCCTGGTAAATTTCTCTTTTTGATGTGTACACCTTGAGTTATTTAACCAGAACTCACAGCCTTATCTTCAGAAGAATACAAAAATGTCCATTTTACTACATATAAAATCACCAGACACAGCCAAGGTTTTCCGCGTCTATTACATGATAATGATGGTGCATTCCTTCGCAGGCTGAAAAAAAATACCTAGACACCAGTTTATATCCAGCTCTGTAGGGAAAAGATAGAGTCAAGACAGTCTCAGCCTTCAAGAGCTCACAGCCCCTGAGGAGAGACAGTATGTAATCTGATGACTGCAATACCATGTGGCACGTAATCATAACCAAGGGAG